TAAAGAGATAAATCAAATCAAAATGATGAAATACAAAAAACGAAAAAAAGAATGAAAGAAAGAAGTAAATTGAATCTATTAAATGATCCAACGTCGTGGTTAATCGCGATTTAGCCAATTGGTCGAAATTACACAGTGTAAAATTAGCAGTGCTCACGCACGGCCTCGAGAGCAGTAAAGGGATACGTACGAGGTTTTAACGCCGCCATCCTAATACTCGGCCGTAAAACCACGATCCCTTTTAAATCCTTCCCCATTCGATGGCGAGCACGATACACAGACAGGGCAACTCGCTCGAACTATAAAATATAAAGCCACGGACGCATCGTTTTACGACGTACAAGCTGCCTCCGTGTCTCCCCGGATCCGGATTCTATTAGGTTTATATCGTGCCCTCCTCGCGATCAAAGAGAGACACGCGTTGGGGATCTCCTTGCCCGAATGAGTATAAGGGAGCTTCTTCCCTGTTACTACTGGAAAATTGCCTTTTTCTGCCGTGTTTAGCAGATAGGAAGTGGGGTCGAGGAAGTTTTAAACGGCGATATGCAGAGGCTTTTGATCGATATCAAAGATTCTGAATTATCTTCAGTAGTTGAAAATCAGATGATTCGCCACTATTATTAAATCTATCTGTACTTTATCGAAAGGCGCACGATTACCAATTTTAATCTCGTCGAAATTTATCATGGCAACCCTCTTACACAACCTTATTCTTCTTCTTATTCTCGTCTAGTCTCTTCGCGCAAATACTATTATATACTCTTCTTCCTCTGTTCCTTCCTTCCTTTCGTCGATTCCTGCACCACGAACATCCTCAATCACCGAGCCGAAAATCGTACAATCTTTATTCCTCAATTTTACTCTTCCCCTTCCCCCTTGGACCCCTCGTTTGGAATCGTTATCGGGGCAGAAGGGAGGCATGAAATCACTGATTGCGGCGGGGCAAGAACGCGTCTGGGACGCGAGACGAGGATGGATGCTCGGGAATAATAAGAATGGGCCGCGGGCCACGCGGAGTCAATGCGGAGCAGCTGCGATCCGCGTAATGAAAGTATGATTGATGATGGAGCCGACGCGCGTCATTAGCTCGACACGAAGAGGCGCGACAAGGAGGATTGGATCCTCTCTCGACAAAATCCTTTCTCCCGTTCCGGAGTTGTTGCAGCCACGGAACGTGTTCTGAATTAGCTGCCCTAATACAATTCGAACGAGCTACTCTTCGTTCCTTCCCCTCTTCTTTCCCCTGGGCTGAGATGGACTGGTAATATTTCCGTATAAAAGAACAATGAGAAATGAGAATGTTCGAGCGAATGATTGGCGAAAGGAGAGGAAATCGGATTTCGTTTGGCGCTCTCGTCGAATCGAAACAAGTAAATTGAATTCTTGTTCAAATTAATAGAATTTTATCCGAATGATTAGGAAGAAAAAAGTAATTTATTTTAACAGCATAAAAAACAGATGATCCACTAACGATGCATACTGTTAGATCTGGTTTAAAAATAAATATAAGACGCGTTTACGCATTAATTACAAAAAAAGAAAAGAAAAGGAAAGGAAAAGAAACAAATGCTAATGCCACGTGAAGCCAAGTCTCGAAAATGAAAACTAACGGGAGAAACGATTCTCGACAAATCTGATATCTCACGCCGTATAGATCATCATTTAGACCGTCGTTATGATTAATGAGCCCCGAAGCGAATACCGCAGACTCGCAAATTGCGGATACGATCGGCTCGTATACGATACGGGGACAATTATCGATCCATCGCGTTGGACGGGATGAAACGCGACCTCTCACCTGGCCGGCCGAAAGTCGAAGGAAGAAGGCTGATACGATCGACGGGGGAGCGGGGGAGCATTCGAAAGACGCATTTATCTCGCTTCCGTTCGAGCAAAATCTGCCCAGGGGCCTAATGCTCCGGCTATTAAGCTTTAATGGACTGCTGATCGTCCAGCATCCTGGACCGGGGGGAGGGGTTGAACGATGCCCTCGATGCCGATTCCCGGAGGAATCGAGAAAAATGGACGAGGGACGAGTTTTCTTCTTCAACCTTCTTCGGCCTTCGCGAAAATTCCCCCTCTCCCTCGTGTTTCGAACGAAGCCTCGACAACGCGATCCCACGAAGGGGAGGAGGAGGGAGGGGAATAGGTGTGTTTGTTTGGCCGGGTCTTGGCCAGGTCTCGCGAAATTCACGGCGCGCGAGGCCATCGATTTCAATTCGAGAGAGGCGAATTCCTCTCTCTCTCTCTCTCTCTCTCTGTCTAGGAGGAAGAGACCGGGAGAAACGGTGGTACAACGGCGAAGGAAAAGGGGTTGCGAAGTGGCCGTGATCAGGATTGACTCGGGATGACAATCTAACCGTACACGAGTTTCCACTTTACTCCCGATACGGGCGGCGACATTTCGGCTCGTTAGCTCCCCTCCTCCCCCCCGCTCTTTCTCGCCACGGAATTACCACCACGCTCCGCGTATTCTCCCCCTCCTCCCTTAGTGTCGTGATTTGCTAGCGAAACACGCTCTCGGTTTATTCCGGATATTACCGATTTAAGAAATGGATGGAGCTGGCGGTGGTGGAGCTAAGCAAATAGAAGTCTTGTTAATTTTTCAGCTACGTTTTATCGAAGTTCGAGTTGATTCAATTTATATATAATAATTTTTGTAACTTTACGATCATTAGAATTAGAATAACGCAAAAAATCGTTTAAGTAAAGAATAAGTAAACTTTTCAGCGAGTGAAAAAAAAAACAAATACGAGGATACATATATATACACACACTCCTTAACTTATAATCAGAGATCTTCCCTCTCTTAAATCACCGGTGAAATCGGACCGAGAGTCGAGCAGGGCATCATCGTCGTGGCAAACAATCCGTAACTCGGTGGGTGTTTATGAGGGAGTGAGTCGTAAAAATACGAGCTCTCTCTCTCTCCGTATCGAGGACTCTCTCTTCGCGTATCGTTGAACCAAGCCTCGAAGGCGTCCTCGAGGAAAGGAGGAAACAAAGGAGCGTAACGAGGGAAAGGTGGAAAAAAGACGGCGTTCCCGGGGGTTGATTCGAGGGTGAGAGGCATGTCGACTGGTCGTAAAACCGGGTCTGATCACCGCTACCAATTATCCCGCCGTTATCCGAACGTTATCCGGAACGTTATCCACCTTTTGCCCGGGCGACGGAACGAGCCCTCCCGCCATCATCCGAATCACTAGGCGGACCCTTGAACCCTTGAAGAGCAGAGAGAGAGACTGTGTTACAAACCCTAACACCGGGGACTAGGTAACCGTTGTTGTCGCCTTTTACTGCAAACGAAGTGATTCTCTCCTCGTAAACGCGACGTCTTTACAGATTACACGGGCCGGAAACCGGAGGCTCCCGTGTTTTTCTTCGCCCCCTTTCGTGTTTCCACGCTTTTTTCCCTCCCGCTTGAATGGCGACGAGGGAGAATTTCCAATGAGCGCGTTGTCCCAGAATATCGTCTCCTTGTGAGAGACAAAAATTTTTTGGCGTAATTTTCCTTCTCTCTTTTTCTCTCTCTCTCTCTCTCTCTTTTTGTCCAATTTGAAATCGCAGATTAATCGAAATCGTAGATTAATTATATTTTGTTTAAGGGGAAGCGAAATTTAAAATGTTCGAATACAGAAAATTTTGAATGATAAAAGATCGAAGAAGAAACGCGAATGCAGGAAATTTTTTTATCTGAAAATAAATATATCGCGCGCAAAAGGAGAAAAAGAAAGAAAAGAAAAAATGAAGGAAAATTTCATATCAATCTTATTCCACCCGATTAAGATTAAGTCTGTTTCTCGAGACAGAAATGACAAAGTGCACGAAACGAATTTCAAAGTCGTATCGTTAACGAGACAGAAAATGGAGAGGTTGAACGAAACGCGCGATTACGATCGACGATAATCGAGTCACGGGGAGGTTATAATTGGCTACCGCCAAAGAAACAAAAACGAGTATACCGTGTATAATATTGGTTCAGATTGTTCGTTTATTGATAAATGATCAAGATGGAGAAGAAACGGCGCTTGAGAAACGGGAGAGATCCCTTCCCCAGCAGCCGAATTACATGATTCGCACGGGCAACACGTCGCGGTCAATTCTTCGTCGGATTACATTACGGAGGGATGAGGGTTCGAATTAACGGGCGACGTGATTGCCACTTCTCAAATTTGATTCCCTAGCATTTATAAACTAGGGGATCGATCTTATAATCTAACGGGTGATAAATCAATCGTAATAGAGTAATAATCCGAAATGTGAAACTAGAAGAAAATATCATCCAATTATAAGGAGAGAGATACAACGAGTTAAAATTAAGCTAATTAAAAATTTCTAAGAATAAGAAAAACGTTCTAAAAATAAGATAATATCGAAGGGAGAGAACAATTACAAATTGGCCTATTTTTAATCTATTACCAAACATCTTTATAGCATATTAGTCTACTTTAAGAAACGTGTTATTACACTTATTAATATAAACTGGATGGAAAGATATAACTATAAAATAATCTAAAATCTATGCGGATATACTTAAAAAAAAAAAAATTTATCAAATTTATCGAATGCCAAGTTCTTCGTGTAAAAAAATTACAAACTCTTAAAATATTATTAAAAAGCAAGAATATAAAACCATTGCCACAACAATTTAACAATTATATAAAGGTATAAAGATAAAGGATTAAACGATACGATAAATCGCGTAATAAAGAACAATTATTTGATGAGATAATAAGGTTTAATGGTTGAACCAACGTGTATATCTTGGGTTAATAAGAGGCATCGAATCCTCGACGAGCCCTTATGGGCACGCGTAGGATTCCTTCGTTAGAACGCATCGATCTACGTCAACCGATAAGGACCGGGAGTGTAACCCTCGTGATAAGCCGGATAAACGTATCCGTGATGCATGCCCGGCACAGGTGACATGAAATTATACGCGTCTTCGGTGTTGTATGTGTGTGTGTAAGGGTCTGTTGACAGAATTGGGCTCGTCTTACCGGCTCGATTGCTCTGGTCGATCATAGGCTGGACGATTCTACGCCTCGCGTTGATGAACCTGTAACAGATAAAACGTGGAAATTAGAAATGAATATCGTGATATCGAAGTATTGCTTAATATAATTTTCTCGACATTCGTTGAACAATATCTATGATATAATATTTGAAAAGTAAAAAAAGTAATAGTAATCGGTAATGTCAATGCGATCTTTCTCGGATTTGAAAGAAATAATTCTCTAATATATACATTTTCAAATATTAGGATAATTCGAAAATATGGAGTAAACGAGAGATGCGGCATTATGGATTAATTCAAGAAGCGTTCCAACGACACGCGAAAATTATCAGATTTAAATACCAGCCCAAATACCCCCTTTGACTAATACGATTTTTGGTAATGTTCCAGAAACGTGGCGACGCCGACAACAAGAACGGTTAAATCGTACGGAAGCAAGTATCCATTCCAATTATCGTCTGTTCCAAGTTTCCATCATTAATTCCACCCTCTTTGGCTACCGATCCCGATAAGAAAATCAACGTCCCTCGCATTCCAAAACCGCCGCATTTCCCGGCATCTAAATCGAGACGGATCCTAAAAATACCCTCTGGATTTAATTCCATCGTACATTCGAGCAATCAGCAATTAACTTAACGAAACGTAGAAAAAATAGGGTCGAAATCAGGCTCGAATTGATGCAACGAGAGAGATCAATCTTCGTCTAACATCGGTCATTTAGGATCCCGCCGCTTCGTGGGATCGGCTAGCTTCAACGACAAGAAATCTATTCGGGTAATCAGAGATAACGATAGGCCAGTCAGGTAGGGGAGACGTATCCATGACTCATTATGTAGATCAGTGGATCATGGGCAGCGGGCATTGGCCGATCGGCTCGATAAAGCTCGAAAGCTCGGCCGGTATCCTCGTATACGTACGTCGATGTATCGTTCATCTCAATTTGGCCGAGTTCTGGGCGGGCACCGTCGATATTTCATCGGCGTAAGGTCGGTAATTGTCGGACGTAATTTCCGCCCGAATCGTGTATGTTAATTTGACGAAGTGGCCGAGCGAAATGCACCCTCGAAAAGAGAACTCGTACAGGTGCGCAGGTGTCTCGTACAGGGATCGAACTGTCTTCCAATTTTTCGACCGCTTTCGTTCCGAAAATCTTTCATTTTTCTTTCCTTTCTTGACGATGATACATACACGAATACAATCGAAATCGAGAATCTTGAGGATCGTTGAAAGCGTTTTCTTTCACTTTTTAATTTTCTTTATCTTATACAAAGAACAAAAGAATCGTAAGCGATGTATGAAAGAAGTTGAAAAAGAAGTTTATAATGTGATCAATAGATATAGAATTATAGAATTGTATTTGATCGAAATTTATCGATCCGTAGAGCCTCAAAAAAAGGGATCTAATTTAATAGAACTGTAAATTAACACGAATACATTCATCGAGAAACATAGCCATTTCGCGACCTATTATTATATATCTCGAGAGAAAAGAAGGAGGGGAAAAGGAAAGGCGGTGCGTGTTATCGAACGAAGGCGAGGCGAACGTCTAGCGAAATAGGAAGAGGAAGAGCAGGATCCTCGATACGTCATTAGCCACGGTGAAGGAGCTTCCGTGCGAGCGCTTTCCAAACAATAGATCTGCGGTCTATTTCGAGTTTGGTAGTGGTCCAACCAAGTTGTGGAGAGGCGGTTCGAGGCCGGGAGAGAAAGAAGAGAAACGAAGAAGGAGAGGGTGGGTGAGAAAGGAAGACAGGCGAAAGGGCGTACGTCAGCCAACGTCAGCGTCGCGGCGCCCTAATGGGCGCAGACGCCGGAAGTGATTGGGTTTCTGCTCGACTGACTCGTGAACGCACCCCCTTCTCATCGTAGAAAACCATGGTTCCGATGGGTGAAGAGAGAGAGGAGAATAGGGTGGCAGCTGCAACCCCTCTTGTTTCGCGTCTTTCTTGCGTTCGGTATCACGCCTGGCCGCTTCCTGGCCCCAGAGTCTTATGAATAATAATTATTAAAGTCTGCCTCGATGCGCTCGCCCAGTTGCGAATGGCCGAGCCCAACACCTCGAAAGCGGAAGTCCGACCAGAGACTCGAAGTTTAATTAACAGGAACAGGAGAGGAGCGTGGAAGGAGTCGGAGTTAAGAGAGTGTAAAAAGAGTATTTTTAATACTCTGAATATTGAGAAAGATCACTGAATTTCGAAAGGAATTATTAACGATTGTGGGATAATTATATATTCGATGTTATACGTAAGTGAAGATACGAATGCAAATATTTCGCTTTCGACTGTTGGACAAAAAATTCATCGACGAAGAAAGGGGGAGAGAAGAAATCACAAAGCGGACACCCTGTTGAACAAACGAAACGAGTGGACGCACGAAACGCGGATCGTCGATGAAAGAGTATCTCGTGTGCGGAGGTGGTCGGAACGGAGGGCAACGGGTGTGTAAACGCGCGGGAGGGATCGTAACACCGTCTCCCCTCAAAGTCAAGGCCTCGGATATCGTTGGATGAAAGAGTATCCCTGCTTGTATAAACCGAGGGCCCCTTTCCAGCCCCCAAATACTCCTAAACGCCTCTGGTTCCCCTTTGGCGGCGTAGGCAGCGTGTCACAGCCAGCTGACTACCTCTGCCAACCCCCGCGCCCACCCTCCTACCGACCACCCCCGTAACTGAAATATCGCCCGAACAATGGCGCGCACAAGAACAGAGACGGGAGAAGAGGAGAGACAGAGAGAGAGAGAGAGAGAGGATGGGAAGCAGTGGCAACTGCCCAACCTTTTCTCTCTCTTTCCTTCGCCCTTTCGTGGGGAATGGGGGTTGGAAACCGGCAAAAATATCTTCGCCACCGGAAAACTTAAGCCCGCCGCGCGTAGAACGGACAGGATGAAATTTTACAGTCGAGATGGCGGCTGGCAAACGATCCTGTCATCTCTCGTTCCTCGTCCACTGGGGATGGTTATTTTACAAGTATCGCGATTTCTTTTGTATTTCGGACGTTTGATCGAGAGTCGATCATAATTTCGTAAATCTTCGACCCTAGTTTCCTCTACGTATCTTTTTCGTATCTTTTTTATTGGACTAAATAAATTAGAAATTAGAAATTAAATATTGCTAAATTATCTTGGCATTTGATCAGTGAAATTTTTCTGATATCCAAATAAAAGAATAAAGTAGTAGGAAAGGTTTATATACATTTCAAACGTTTGATTAGCATCGTATCGTGGATACAGTTAAATCAACATTAAAACATTGAAAATTCACAAAGGAAATTCAAGTCTATCAAAGATGGTCGAGTTTTCCATCTGGCAACGCGAAATTAGTTTTATCGCGTTTAAGATAATCCGTCTGTACTCTCGAAGCTCACGGATGCGCTTTTTACGGGTTCGTTATCGCGAGCGATCGTAATGGGCCGGTAAAATTATCGGTTTACGACGCTTGCTCGGATCCAACGTTGGAAAGCGTTAAGGGAGAGGCCATATTGCGCCAACCCCCACGGGATGACAAAACACTTTTCAACGCGCCCTCGTCGCCGCTTTCAGGATTTTAATGCAGTTTTGATTATGAAACCGGAGGGGGGCGTCTCGGTTTCGCGGCGTGAAACAAACCCAGTCACGCGAGGGGCTGGATGAAAAGCGTGACTGACTCTCACACTCGCCTCGTCATCCTTCCGAATTTGAATTTTTCAAAAAATGCAATATCTTTATAAATATATAATCAACGAATATTCCTCTCCACGGGGTAATTACAATTTCGAAGAAATTCGATTTAATTATCGTTTTAGATTTCATACGTATTAAAAGTATATGTACACGGAATACATTGTTCGTGTGAACGAATCGATCAAGTTCAAGTTCATCGTCGGGCAGCGAAGCAAGAGGAGCATATGACATCGAAAAAGGCATAAAAGTCAGAGTTACGAGAGGGTGTATCCCGCATAACTTTCCGGAACCGTGACGAAATTTAGTGAGCTCCGTTCGCATATATGAATAATACTCGAATTTGTTTGTACAGATATATCTATATACTCTATCAGATTCGATTCATACGGTTTCGTAGGGAACGAAGTAACGTGGACGAATAAAAGAAAGACAGAATGTAGAAGAACACCTTTAAACAGTCGATAATTTCGAACAAACTATTACAATACAGATTTTTAGATCGATCGATTTTACTTTCTCTAAAAAAGAATACTCAGGAGTTTTATTTCTTCCTTCGTTTAATTCCTCTTACAATTTCTTCGTTATTTTCCTCCATGGAAACGAATGTTGTTATTACAGAATAATTATATCAGAAGAGAGGATTTTTACATTTGATATTATGATTTATTTTTTGGAAAAATTTGTCTAAGTTTAAACGAGCCACACACCGTCGAGAGTTTCTCAACGCGGTGGCATCGCTCGAATTCGTTTCGCGGTGTGATAGAACAGCGGTGGTAACGATGATTACTGTCGCGCTGGCAACATTTACTCTCCGGCGGCGCTCGCAATTATCGGAGAGCTTCCATTAGTTAACTGCAGTCGATACGCGCGGTGCACCGGGGTCCTCGCATCAAAACATCATTACTGCACGAACACGAGAACGCGGCCGGCGATAGTCAGCCCAGCCAGCCACCGAGAGCTGGTATTGGTAATCAATTTCGCCGGTGTACGTAGAACCGCGGACTAATGCGACGCGAACGGCGAGCTTTCGCATTAGCGAGGATCGAACAGCCGTCCCCGTGATCATTGCCCATTACAGAATGAATCGAATCGGCTGTCGGTGAATCCGCGAAACCTGTCCAAGGATCGTTCCTTCCGGGTGCTTTCGTTCGAATAAAAAATTTCACCGTTTCCCTCCTCCTCCTTTCGTGCATCCAAAGGTTGCAAATAATAAAAATATAACAAACTTTGAAACTGTTGTATATATATATTATTTATTCACGAGTTTATTCAAGTTTACTTTGTTATTCAGAAATATAGACGGAAGTTTGAGCGATTTGGAAAATTTTAAAAGTAGTGGGAGAGGGATATCGTTTGTCGAGCGTGGTTAGAATTCAGTGTCGAAA